GGACCAGCAGATGGCACAATGGTTACGTTGCTGGACTCCCACGTAGTCAACTGCAGTTTGAACCCTGGACCTGGCAGCTGAAAACTCACGTTTTAAGCCCATGCGCGTGTGTGCTCAAAATCCCAAGAGGAGAATGGAGAAGGGATTATGGCATGGCCATCCGCCAGGGGGCGGGGCTGATTTCTCACTTTCTATGTGTCTGTCTGTCTGTCTCTGTGTCTCTGGTAAGCACATGTGCCCTTTAGCCAAAATCTCTTTAAAAATAAATAAATAAACAAATAAATAAAATACAGCCCAACCCCTACCGCCCTGCACACTGCGTGCCGCCCCACCCCAGGTCCTGCTGGAGGCCCAGAGTGCACAACCTGGGCCCACACCTCTTTGAACTCAGACGATTGCCCTGAACCCCCCTGTGGGGCCCCTGCCTCTGGCATCCCCGACCCGCAAACCCGCACATGGTCCACCCTCCTCCCCGTGGGCAGCCCACCCTCCACCCTGCCAGGTGCCGCGGCTGCCCAGATCAGTAGGGGCTGTTTGCTTGGAGGGCTCTAAAATCAGGCATGGGTTCAAACCTCAGCACCAGGATCTGGGCAAGGCACTTAACCTCCCTGTGCCTCCATTCCATTAGCTTTAGATCGGTTTCCCAGCACTCCTCACGGAGACCTAGGGCTGTCACGAATTTCAACTCAGCATCAGCAGAGCCTCTGCCGTGTAGCATTGGGGTACTCGGTGACGCTGAGCTGTCCCGTTCTTCATCCCCATGGCCACCAGCGGGGTGAGCAGCGGTCCTCCCCGGCTCTGCTGGGAAGTGGAAGCTCGAAGACATTTGGGGTACGTTTAAAGGGAACAAGGCAGCAGCCCTCCTTCATAGAAGTGCCTAGAGCTTGTGGGAGAGAAGGACTCGGGGCCCTAGGGAGATGGAGGAAAGTGGGGTGCCTGAGAGGAGACTCGCCCTGCAGGAGACAGGGGCACTAGCAGTGGCCTGGTCACCTCAACGAGCAGAGCGCCCTGGTGGAGGGTCGCTGCCACGTCACGTGTGTGAGGACGCCCTGGTGGAGGGCCGCTGGCACGTCACGTGTGTGAGGACGCCCTGGTGGAGGGCTGTTGGCACGTCACGTGTGTGAGGACGCCCTGGTGGAGGGTCGCTGCCACGTCACGTGTGTGAGGACGCCCTGGTGGAGGGCTGTTGGCACGTCACGTGTGTGAGGACGCCCTGGTGGAGGGTCGCTGCCACGTCACGTGTGTGAGGACGCCCTGGTGGAGGGCTGTTGGCACGTCACGTGTGTGAGGACGCCCTGGTGGAGGGCTGTTGGCACGTCACGTGTGTGAGGACGCCCTGGTGGAGGGCTGTTGGCACGTCACATGTGTGAGGACGCCCTGGTGGAGGGCTACTGGCATGTCACGTGTGTGAGGACGCCCTGGTAGAAGGCCGCTGGCACGTCACGTGTGTGAGGACGCCCTGGTGGAGGGCCGCTGGCACGTCACGTGTGTGAGGACGCCCTGGTGGAGGGCCGCTGGCACGTCACGTGTGTGAGGACGCCCTGGTGGAGGGCCGCTGGCATGTCACGTGTGTGAGGACGCCCTGGTAGAAGGCTGCTGGCATGTCACGTGTGTGAGGACGCCCTGGTGGAGGGCCGCTGGCACGTCACATGTGTGAGGACGCCCTGGTAGAGGGCCGCTGGCATGTCACGTGTCTGATGCGAAGTTCTTACCCCAGGACTCTTACCAGGGACAGTCCAAGTTGAGGTTTCTCTAAAGCAGACCCGAAGCAAGGGTCCAGGTACAGCGGGAGGTGCGGACAGCAGCCAGCACAGGTGTGCAGTCATGCCAGCTCCCACCGTGGGCACGGTTCCACAGGAGGGCCCTGGAAACCCCAGTTTGCAGAACCAGCCCACCCCAGGGTGAGGGAGTGGGGGTATTTGTACACCAGTTACTGAACATCTCTGAATGAGGACTGCTCCTGGGGTCGCTAGTACCCGTCCTTCAGGCTGTGTGCACATGCGCCCTCAGGCTTGGGTGCAGATGCTGGAAGTCTGCTTCCCGCTCTGAGAGGTCAGGGTTACAGGCAGGGCACAGGGTTACAACACCTGCTGCGGGTAGGAATGTGCTCGAAGGCACCGCAGAGGTGAACCGACCGCTTGTGGTGGGACCCAGCTCTCTGGACATGACCCTGGGAAGAGTCACCTTCCCTTTAGCCTCGGGGAGCCACTGAGACTTGGGCAATCCACGGAAAACTGCCGAGGGGGTGGTGGCTGTGGTGTGCAGACAGAGGGCAAGAATCCACTCTCCAGCCAGCCCACAGCTCTGACACTGAGCCGCTCCCGCCACCACTGGCAGACATCGGCCTGGACTCCCAGGACAGGAATGGTGGGGCGACCTGCCCTTCCAGCAGGCTGCAGCCCCCAAGCAAGGGGACTGGTCCAGGGACCCACACCAGCCCCTCACTCCCCACCCCGAGATGCTGGGAAAAGCCTTGGTGGCTGGTCAGTTTACTAACTAGCCTTTGGGATTTGGGCAATCAGCCTTGTAGTCACAGAATGGCGAGTTCTGTGAATGTAGGTCACACACGCGCTTCCGCACTCACGCAAACCAATTATTCATCGGAGTGCGAGAGTCTGCTCTCAACATTCACATATTTTTGGAAAGTTTAAATTTTCCGGCTGTGCTGAGTGAAGTCGTGCCTGTTGCACAAGGGATGGGCGCTGGGGGTGAAGTCACTAAAGCTCATGCGAAATTGAGCGGGAACGCCCACTTAGGGGTTTTATTTAGACACAGCCCAGCGTTCCCATCATCGCTTTCTGGAACCCACCATAAGTTTCAGAAATCAACCTGAGGAGGAGGCAGGGGCCTGGAACTCAGCCACGTTCTTAAGGTGGTGGTGGAAGCCCCTTCATGCCTCCTCCTTTCTCCTCTCCCACCTCCCTTCAAGGCCGGTTCTGGTACAGGTGGTCCATCGGGAGACGGGGAGTTGCAGTGGGCAGCCTCGGGCAAGTGACTGATTTCTTAGTGTCCCATCTGCGAAGTGGGCGGAACAGTGCTCCCGCGACAGCTGGCTCATAGTAAGTGCTCAGTAGAAGCCGTTCCCCGTCTCCCCTCTCCTACAGCGTTTCATTTCTCTATGTTCATTTCTTCCCCCGCTGTTCAGATTGCATGGGGCAGAGATGTGAGGCGGATGTCTCTGCCAGTGCGAGGACTGGGTGGACGCGTAGCTTGGTGACCCGTTCTGACCTATTCACGGTCAGACCAGA